GACATTTTCACACATCTAATGTATATAAACAATAAGGCGACAGGTACTCAGGCTAAATGCACATTCACTCATCTCTGCGCACAATCAAAATATGAAGTTATTTCTATTATTATATTGGCCTGTCACCTGGCTGTGTGTAGTTTGCGTATGTGTCTAACTGAGCAGCATGAGCCACTTGGGTTAGACTTTGGAGATCCAGACGTAGCCTGTGAAACCAGAAGGTGTTCTGTGTGACTGCCCTCACAGTGAGGTGGGTTGTATGAGGTCAAAGCAATGTGCTGCTATCGACGGGGACACCAACAAGAACTTATTTAAGACCCCTAAAAAACCATCAATATCAGTTTAAGTGCTGAGTATAGAATATTTCCAATTGGGAACTTAAGATGCTATCTTTGCTCACTTCAAAGACACAAGACTACTTAGAGAGAAACAGTGATTTGACTCCTGTGTTTCAGAGGGTTAGTTGAGATTCACCAAAGTCTCACAATGACACAAACATGCTGACCGATGGAGGCAGCGGTAGACCAGCAGCTCCTGTGTTCTACGAGGCAAATGTACTGTTTCTGTCCAATGAGTCTTGTGGTTGTGAAGAGAGCTTATATAACAACTTCAGGTCCTCACCAAATGACTGATCAAAGTAAAGCGCTGAACATATTCTAAATACATAGTACGCTTAAACCGGTATCTATTATTTCGGTGTCTAAAGTACGTCCACATCAGTACATTGCTTTGCTCCTGTCTGTTCTACTGCAGTAACACACGGACTATGAGAAGAGCCCCGTTCAACCACACTACCAAACATCTGGACTGTCCCTTAAAGCACACACAGTGTGTTTAATGTTCTGTTCTATTTATTCATGGAACATTTTTGAGCACACAATTTATTAATGTGTACCCACAGATTATTCACACGGTCTCATAAATGGCCGCGTGTGTGAAACACCGTGCCCTCAGTTTGTACAGCAGGCCCAGCTGTTATCACACACTTGACTTGTAAGATTAGTGGAGTCAGATTTATCTTTGATATCCAATTTTTACCACATTTACCGTTTTATTAACAAGGTGCACCGTACGTCATGCACTGTCAATGACCTGACCCCCCCATGAAGAGTTCATCTTTAAAGCCTTACAAACGTCACTTCCATATTTTATTTTGGAAAGGTTAATAAGCACTGCGGCATACTGTTCCAGTTTGTTGGGGACCTTTAGACGAGAAGTGTAAAGAGAGTGGCTGACTCTGTGGCGCTTTCCTTGCAGTTCTCGCTCAAACTCTGGCGGTTTCCCAAGAGGAGATTCCGTCTCTCTCTCTGCCGTGATAAAGTTGGTACCACACAGAGCCTCTCCTCTAATCAACAGACAGTCTGTGTTGATTCCCGTAGAACGGCTTGTTAAATAGCTGTGGTAATCGTTGACAATCAAAGTCGTGTGTTGACTCAATCAGCTGAGAATCGTGGAAAAACAGGAAGGAAAGCAGCCTCTTGATATGAATCTCTAACTCTGAATTCACTTCCATCCAAAATCTCAAAACGCATGCTGTAAATCCTAACTCTCCTTCCCTTGTTGACCGCCCTAGTCCAACATGATCTTGTGATTTCCTCTCCAGGCTCCTGATCCGTCCTCTCCTCCTCACTAACCTCAGAATTTGTCTCCATGTGTGTCGTAGTCCGCCCGGTAGTTCTTAGCCACTCATCATGTTGTGCCTCTTGTTGGTAGGAGTGTGCTCCGGCGCCTAAGCAGAGTTCTCCAGACTCTGACTCCTGCCCCTCATCTCCTAAGCACCCCTCGACCGTTAGTATCCCAGCTTGCACTGCAACGCATCGCACTCACCACCACCATCGTCATAGTCCAACTTTTCAGCTGCATATGAATGAAAACGCATCTTTCTCTCCACTGCATATGCTTCCCTCATCTGCCGCATGCCACATCTAGCTCCTACCACAACACCTGGCACCTCCACGTGCAGAAATTCACTTTGCGGTGGTGTTAGGGCGCCCTCTGCTGGTGACATTTGGACACATCAAGTCCCATTTGCTTCTCAAGCTTGTGTGTGTGTGTGTGTGTGTGTGTGTGTGTGTGTGTGTGTGTGTGTTCCGGCGGCTTCTTATCTGTGTCTCCTCAGCCCTCAGAGAAGTGCGGCGTCCTCAATGTCACCAAAATCACAGAGAATGGCAAGAAAGTCAGGTGAGAAGCGTACTTTATCCAAAGTCCAGAGACTCGTCTCAAACCCGACACCCTGTAATGCGATGTGTTTCTACTGTGACATACAGGAAGAACTGGACGTCCTCGTGGACAGTGCTGCAGGGTTCCTCCCTGCTCTTCGCAAAGGGCCAAGGGGGCAGCACCAGCTGGGTACGTATCCCATCAGCCCCGGGACGCTCATGTTCCTGTGACGTTTCTGAGCTTTATTTTCTTTTTAGCATTTCCGTTCATCTCCGTGTTAGTTCTCTCTCTTCCTCGTTTGCCACCTGCGCTGTGAAATTTGTCCACCTCTGTTCATTGCTTCTCCTCCTCTCCTCTCCTCTCCTCCTGAAGTCTTACTACCGCAGCGGCTCCATCCCCGAGCTGCTCCTCACTCTCCTTAGCAGCTGGAAGCGCTCGGTCAAGCCCCGTCCTGCTGTCTCCTATGTGAACTGTCGGCCTGTGCAGGCTGCCGCTGTATGTTCCCTCTCTGCATGTGTGTGCTGCTCCTCCTGCCTGTCTTTCATGTCTTTCATTCACTCCTGCTTTAACTGACCGGGACTCTGGTGTGTGTGTGTGTGTGTGTGTGTGTGTGTGTGTGTGTGTGTGGCTTGTTTTAGCTGATCAGAATTAAAAGAAGCTGCACTAATCTATATTTCTTTAATAACAAGTGGATCATCAAGTGGATGATGATGTATAATGTAAACCAGACTTTGCGGTTCCCTACCTACCTCACTACCCGCTCAGAACCAAACAGCAGACAGAAACCAGTTTGTTAGGAGCGGGTACAGTGAGCAAAGTGGAGCTCAGGCTAAGCTAAGGAGCCCTCAGTAGCTGGTAGAGACCATCTCAGAGCTATAAGGAGAGTGACTGCTGGACTAACCTCAACGAGGCTCTGTGTCTGCTGTGTGTGTAAATAGGTAACAGTTAGCTAACGTGTTCGCCATAACAACTTTCTAACGTAATGATGTGTGTGTGTTTACAGCTTGTTTCAGCTCCCCAACAAGTTGCAAACAAATCACTTAATGCAGGTTTAAGTTGGATGGAAGGATTAAATTAGGCTATGAAGTCCTTTAAAAGGTTGTGAAGTAGAATTCCACTTTGACTTATTTTCTTGATTTAGCAAGAACACGTGTCAAACATCCCTGAGTTGTAGGCTGTTTCTGTTAGAGAGATGACAGGAGAGACAGATGGTGAGAGACAGATGGGGAGAGACGTGCAACAAGGACGCCGCTAACCAGCGTCCTGCTCTGTGTGATAACCTGAGAGAATAGCAGCTCGCTGGTCTGAAGTCAGCCTCACCAACAGCAATCGTAGTATCATTTCTGATGACATGACACCATAATTATGAGGCTAAAAAAATGATCCTATTTAGGTGTTTTTTATTTTCACAATCCCTCATAAAGTTTTGGTAATAATGTTTAAATTCAACTACAAGGACATCACAAATGTCTTACATTCTGTGTATTATTAAGAGTCTAACCAAAAGTGAATCAAGATGTGCAATGTATAACAACCATTAACAGTGTTTGTGTAACTCCATACTGAAGTTGTGTGTGACGCCTGCTGTTACACACACGTCGGTGGATATTCACTTCACAAATAGTTTCTTGCTTTTAACACAAAACTCCCCCGAAACAACAAGGTGTTCCTGTTGTACCGTCTCTGTGTCAGACTCTCACACTGTTTCGTTGATTCCAGAAGTTCGGGGGCAACCAGTCGAAGCCTGAGTTCACCGTTGATCTGCGGGGGGGGGCGGTGGATTGGGCCTCCAAGGACAAGTCAAGCAAGAAACACGTCATCGAGGTACTGAACCACGGCTGATCTGTAGATCAACCTGCGCTCTGTGTTGTTCTTTAATGGTGTCAAAAAAGTAACGCTGACTTCTTCTCCCGCAGCTGAAGACCCGTCAAGGGACGGAGCTGCTGATCCAGTCAGAGATCGACAGCGTCATCAACGACTGGTACCGGGCCCTCACGGAGACCATCAACACACACGTGAGGGTCTTTCATCAGAGGCATCTTGACACAAGTGTTTATCTGCTCTCCTTCAGCTTCACCTCTTCATTGCTGCTGCAAGCTTGGTTTGAGCTGAGAGTGTGGCTGTATGAGGTACTTCTCCATCGTCAGTGTATTACTACCAACCAAGTACCAACACGGGAGCACAGCAACGTACGACTGTGGACTATTTTACACTCCTAAGAGAATCAGTTGAAGTGAACTCTATATTTAGAATATGTTGGCTGCTCCACCTTGCTGTCAGACAGACCTTTCCGAGGGAACTGAAGCCGTTATCTGAGCTCTCTTCAAAGCCTCCAGACTCCTTTTGTCATTTGACCTCCCAGAACACAGGAGCTGTTGGTTTATCACTGCCTCTATCTGTTAGTTGTGTTGTTGTGTGACTGGTGAATCCCAACTAACCCTTTTAAACAGCAGAGTCACACAACAACACAGACAAGATAACCCTCAGAGGCAGCAGTAGACCAGCTACTCCTGTGTTCTACCAGGTCAAATTACTTTTTGGCAAAGGAGTCTTGTGGCTTTGAAGAGCTCCTGGATGGATATATTGGCTTCAGTTGCCGGTCACAAAGGGCTGTCTGACGGGAAGATAAAGCGCTGAACATATTCTAAATAGAGCAAACACTTAAACTGATATTGATTCTTTTACTGTAAGTGTCTAGAATACGTCCACAGCAGTGCACTGCTCTGCTCCTGTGCTGGTACTCCTGCTTCTCCAAATTCCATCTACTTCAGGAAATACAGATGATGGAGAAGTACCTCATACAACCCCACTCCACAAAATCCAAACTATCCCTTTTAAAAATAGATTTCAGGGTTCATACAGTCATGGAAAACCTGGAAAACTCATGGAATTTTAAAATGGTTATTTCCAGGCCTGGAAAAGTGCTTGGAAAAAAATAAAATCCCAAAAGTTTTGGAAAAGTCATGGAAATGTGTTATATTCATATTTTCATGTCGTTCATTTACGTTGAGTTGCCAGCCAGCGTTTCTCAGATTGGAGTGAGACGAGGAGAAAATGTGATGTCGTGATCTTCGCAATAGAACATCTTTGATGTGTCGAGTCTTGGCCAATCAGCGTTCAGATGTCTACACCGTCTTCATTTCCCTCGTTAAAGTTTGAGTTATGTTATTATTCTGTTGCCGTTCAGACTTCCTGGGTTAAGTTAACGTCCACTGCATGCGGAACTTTGCCGACTGTTAACGTTCGTCATTATCGCGATTTAGGAGGAAAAAACGTAACGTGATGAAACATGAAGCCCCCCGTGTTCCAGTTCAGTTCACGCGGTCACTCATTAACGTTAAACCAGAACACCGGCGCATCTGGTTGCAGGTCGTTTGTTTTAACTCAAAGTAGAATGAGGATGATTTCGTGGTCAGAATAACTTTCATGACCACGAAACATGAGGCCCAGATACTGATGAGGTGATGAGGTCAAAGAGCTTCAGGAAGAGGAGGCTGGTTGTGTAGCGAGCTGTGAGTGGAGCTGGGCCTGGATAAAGGTGGAGCTGGGCCTGGATAAAGGTG